CTGACCTTAGGTGATCCACCCGCCTTGGCCTCCCAAACTGCTAAGATTACAGGCATGAGCCACTGTGTCCAGCCAGATCTGGTTTTTTTTTTGTTTTGTTTTGTTTTTTAAAGACAGAGTTTTGCTCTTGTTGCCCAGGCCCGATCTCGGCTCACTGCAGCCTCCACCTCCCAGGTTCAAGTGGTTCTCCTGCCTCAGCCTTCTGAGTAGCTGGGATGATAGGCGTGCGCCACCATGCCTGGCTAATTTATGTATTTTTAGTAGAGATGGGGTTTCTCCACATTGATCAGGCTGGTCTCGAACTCCCAACCTCAGGTGATCCGCCCACCTCGGCCTCCTGAAGTGCTGGGATTACAGGCATCATAGATTTGTAGCTCAATTCACCTGTAGGCAACTCTCTACCCCGCCCGAGAGGCAGTGGTTGGTGGGGGAGGGAGCAGCTCAGTGATGAAGAACCACACCCTCACACACACAGGTGTTTGACAACGACATCTCCTACATTGAGGGTGGAACAGCCAGTGGCTTCTACACTGTGGAAGACACGCACTACGTCACCAGGTGAGGGCATGGGGGCAATGGGGGGCGTGGACCTGGAGTCTGCTGGCAAGGGGTGGAGGGGAGGGTGTTGGGCCTAAGTTAGGCCCTTGGTGCCTACACTGAGCCACTCTTGTCCTGCGCCCAGGATGTATCGTGTGTATGGGAAAAAGAACATCAAGTTGGAACCTGTGCCCCTCAAGGGGGCCTCTCTGGACCCAAGGTGAGCCCCAACAATGTGAGGTGGAGGTGCTTCACCCTCAGCCTCCTCCCCACCAGTGGGGGCAGGTGTGGGCCTCTTAGGAGGCCCTCTAGCAACCCCTTTAACTCCTGCCCACGAGCTTAGCGGGGGATCCCTGAGGCTTACCTAGACACCCCATAGTGAGGGATTTTTTTGGTGGGGTCAGGAGTATGGGGTGACCATTGCCCCATGCCCCATCACAGCTCCTTCCTGCCCCTTCCTGTCCAGGTTTGTTTTCCTTCTGGACCGAGGGCTAGACATCTACGTGTGGCGGGGGGCCCAGGCCACACTGAGCAGCACCACCAAGGCCAGGTATGAGGATACCGTGGGGTCTTTTGTGTGAAGAACAGGGGTGCGAGCCTCGCTGATGACTTTGCATCCTGCTCTCAGGCTCTTTGCAGAGAAAATTAACAAGAATGAGCGGAAAGGGAAGGCCGAGATCACACTGCTGGTGCAGGGCCAGGAGCTCCCAGAGTTCTGGGAGGCACTGGGTGGGGAGCCCTCTGAGATCAAGAAGCACGTGCCTGATGACTTCTGGCCGCCCCAGCCCAAGCTGTACAAGGTGAGCCCTGCTGCTGAGGCCCACCATGGCCTCCCAAGGTCACCCGCTGACTGGGGGAATAGGCTACACACCGATATAGTTGGCTGTGGGCTCCATCTCAACTTTGATGGGGAGAGGGTGCCACCTTCTGGACAAGGAACAGTATGAGCAAAGGTCCGGAGGCTGCTTTCGAGAAGTAGCCTGACTCTTTCCAGGATGGTGGGGCGGGAGGGGAGACAGAAGCGCCTAATGCCAGGGCTGGGAACCTTGGCTCAATTATCCAGATTCTTGTGAACAGGAAAGGGACAAGTTAGAGAATTAGAAATGACATGAAGGGCCTGGAGACGGCAGGCATTTAAAAGCCCTTCTGAAAGGATATGCCTAAAAAGACTTGACGGGGGGGGGGAAGCGGGAGCAGTCAGTGAGCCACGCTGCAGGGCAGGGCTGGTTCCAGAGCAGAGGGCTGTGTGGGTGAGGTTCCTGTCTCCGGACCCCTTCCCTGCCATGCTCATCCTTCCTGCCAGGTGGGCCTGGGCTTGGGCTACCTGGAGCTGCCGCAGATCAACTACAAGCTCTCCGTGGAACATAAGCAGCGTCCCAAGGTGGAGTTGATGCCAAGAATGCGGCTGGTAAGAGATGCGGGAGGAGGGCGCGGGGCCGGATTCCTCCCTGTTGGCTGGGCTTTGACCTTCAGGCTCCCGGTCTGCAGCTGCAGAGTCTGCTGGACACACGCTGCGTGTACATTCTGGACTGTTGGTCTGACGTGTTCATCTGGCTCGGCCGCAAGTCCCCGCGCCTGGTGCGCGCTGCTGCCCTCAAGCTGGGTCAGGAGCTGTGCGGGATGCTGCACCGGCCACGCCATGCCACCGTCAGCCGCAGCCTCGAGGGCACCGAGGCGCAGGTGTGCTTGCTGCTTCGGAGGCCCCTCCCCAGGATCCTTTCCACCCTGACATGCCCTGACTCCTGTGGTTCCACTGTCTCCCTACAGAGCTGGGCCCAAACCCACCTCCTCTTTGCTGACTCTGCCCAGACCCCGCCCCCTCTGCAAGCTGCCACTCCTATTCCTACCTCCGTGTCTAAGGCCCCGCCTCCCAATCCCCGCCCTAGATCTCCCTTGGGTCCCGCCTCAAGCCTCAGGCTCCTTCCTCCAACCGTAACCTTAACCATGCCATACCCCTCATGGTTAGTTGATGGCCTCCCTGGCAGGTGTTCAAGGCCAAGTTCAAGAATTGGGACGACGTGTTGACGGTGGACTACACGCGCAACGCGGAGGCCGTGCTGCAGAGCCCGGGTCTCTCTGGGAAGGTGAAACGCGACGCCGAGAAGAAAGACCAGATGAAGGCTGACCTCACTGCGCTCTTCCTGCCACGGCAGCCGCCCATGTCGCTGGCGGAGGTGGGGGCGGGGCCGGGGCCGGGGGGCGGGCCGAGGGCGGGGCCTATGCGCACAGCGCACTCAGACCTGCCGCGGGGCGGGCCCCTGCCGCCTGCAGGCGGAGCAGCTGATGGAGGAGTGGAACGAAGACCTAGACGGCATGGAGGGTTTCGTGCTGGAGGGCAAGAAGTTTGCACGGCTGCCGGAAGAGGAGTTTGGCCACTTCTATACGCAGGACTGCTACGTCTTCCTCTGCAGGTGCCACCTCAGCACTCCCTTCTCTAGGTGCCTCCCCTGGTGCTGAGGGCTCGAGCCCCTGCTCACAACCCTCCAACCCGGCAGGTACTGGGTGCCCGTGGAGTACGAGGAGGAGGAAAAGAAGGAAGACAAGGAGGAGGAGAAGGCCGAGGGCAAAGAAGGCGAGGAGGCAACAGCTGAGGCAGAGGAGAAGCAGCCAGAGGAGGACTTCCAGTGCATTGTGTACTTCTGGCAGGGTCGCGAAGCCTCCAACATGGGCTGGCTCACCTTCACCTTCAGCCTGCAGAAGAAGTTCGAGAGCCTCTTCCCTGGGAAGCTGGAGGTGTGCCTGGCAGCCCCGCGAGCCCGAGGCCAGGCGGAGGGGTGTGGTGGGGCCCAGACCCAGAGGTGGTTAGGCTCCCAAGGGAAAGGTGGGGGTCCAGGGAGCTGCCCCTAACACTTCCACATCCCCAGGTGGTACGCATGACGCAGCAGCAGGAGAACCCCAAGTTTCTGTCCCATTTCAAGAGGAAGTTCATCATCCACCGGGGCAAGAGGAAGGCGGCCCAGGGCGCCCAGCAGCCCAGCCTCTACCAGATCCGCACCAACGGCAGCGCCCTCTGCACCCGGTGCCTGGCTGGGGGAGGACACAGTGGCGAGCAGGGGTCAGGGAGCCAGGCCTGACTCCTTGCTGATGCCCCATCCCTTCCACAGGTGCATCCAGATCAACACCGACTCCAGTCTTCTCAACTCCGAGTTCTGCTTCATCCTCAAGGTGGGGTTGTGGGTGTGAGCCAGGGCTCCGTGGACCAAGGGGTGGGGTGTTTGGGGGCTGAGTCAGCTGCAAACACCCCCACCCCCACCCCTGCACACTCCCCAGGTTCCCTTTGAGAGTGAGGACAACCAGGGCATCGTGTATGCCTGGGTGGGCCGGGCATCAGACCCTGACGAAGCCAAGTTGGCAGAAGACATCCTGAACACCATGTTTGACACCTCCTACAGCAAGCAGGTCAGGAGGCAGGCGGGCAGGCAGGCGGGCACAGACAGGGGAGCCAGGGCAGGCAGGGGCCCTGGGCTGGACTGGCCTTTCCCGCAGGTTATCAACGAAGGTGAGGAGCCTGAGAACTTCTTCTGGGTGGGCATTGGGGCACAGAAGCCCTATGACGACGATGCCGAGTACATGAAGCACACACGGCTCTTCCGGTGAGGCCAGGGCCCCGACCCTCCCCTCGGTCCTGGCACTGCTGCTTATGACCTCTGGCCTCACCTTGACCCTTGATTCCCAGGTGCTCCAACGAGAAGGGCTACTTCGCAGTGACTGAGAAATGCTCCGATTTTTGTCAAGATGACCTGGCAGATGACGACATCATGTTGCTAGACAACGGCCAAGAGGTGCGATGTTGCCACTGGCCCTGCCCATCTGAGGCGGCACCCATAGACTTAAAAATGGGAAGTTTGGGGCCAGGAGCAAGGGGGTGTTCCCAGGCGCCCATGTGACCGTATCTCCTCTGCTGCCCCCACAGGTCTACATGTGGGTGGGGACCCAGACTAGCCAGGTGGAGATCAAGCTGAGCCTGAAGGCCTGCCAGGTAAGCTGGGTGGAGGGAGGGCCGAGGTGGGCCTGTGGGCAGGGCGGGGTCATCACCCAAGGCTCGCTGTCCCCTTGCCAGGTGTATATTCAGCACATGCGGTCCAAGGAACATGAGCGGCCGCGCCGGCTGCGCCTGGTCCGCAAGGGCAACGAGCAGCACGCCTTTACCCGCTGCTTCCATGCCTGGAGTGCCTTCCGCAAGACCCTGGCCTAAGACAGGCTGGCACAGCCCCAGGCTTGGTGAGGAAGAGGAAGGGGACCTCATCCACTGTCTGCTAACAAAGAATATACTGAGGTGACAACACCTGCTCCAGCCACGTCCAGTGCCACAGTCCCCAGTAGCCTCAGGCAGCACCAATGGGGATGACCCTGACAGGTGCCCTCAGGGGTCTGGGAAATCCGACTCCCTCCACGGTGTGAGCACATGTGTAAAACCCCCTCACTTCTCTGCCAGGGATAAAGCAGATGTGGCTGCCCTTTAAGAGATATTAAATGCTTTTATTTTCAATATTAAAAATCAGTATTTTTAATATTAAAATGGCGCTAATTTTAACAAAATAACAGAAAAAAACCCCAAAGTACAATCTACAGGGAAACTCATCTTGGGCCCCCCCACCCCCCCGCAACACACACACCTGACTAGGCCCCAGCTGTGGATGCCCAGCAGAGCTCCCAGTCACATCCACACTCAGACACACACACTCATGACAGGCTGGGGACTGGCCCAGGAGCAGGTACCAAAATAGTTTTAGAAACAACCGTCCAGCCCAGGCGCTAGAAAAATACTCTTTGCAAAGTGAGGGGGAAGGACGGTGTGTGGAGCAGGGGGTGGCACAAGGTGCTGGGCCCCACCTGTCCTCTTCCCTAGGCAGTGGGCCCCCAGGGCAGCCAAATGCCTGCAGAAGGGCTCAGTTCTGGCCCAAGTCCCAGGCCCACACCCTGGGGCTGGTGCTGCTCCAGGGCCCAGGGTCAGGCAGGACAGGACAGCAGGTCCCAGTGGAGCCTACAGGTTAGCAGGCGTGGGTCTATGTTAAGGGGCCAGGCAGGTGCCAGGGATCCAGCACTCCAGCTCCGAGCAGGGCAGGTGGAGGTCGGGATAGTCCTGGCCTTCCTGGGAGAGGGAGAGAAGAGGTATCAGCAGAAGGTGAGGGAGGGCCAAAGAGGGCAGACCGATTGCCACAGTGGCCGGACCACACAGGTGCTGCCACTGTCTCCTCTGCAGGGCAGGCAGGGCCCTTCAGTAACCGCCTGAGATGGGGTTGCTGAGTCTCCAGGTGGGTATCCAAGCGCCAGGCCACATATGCCCCACTGAGGCCAGGGAGGGGCACCAGACAAAGAGCTGGGAGGTGTCCATGTCCTGTGCAGGGTGAGGCTATGGCCCACAGGTGGCTGGGAGCACGAGGCAGCAAATGCGCTGGGCAGATCTATGGGCCCCAGATCTAGGTGAGGATCCACACAGACTCAGGCAGGGTAAGTCAGCCACTTGCTGGGCCCAACCGATGAGACCTGACCTCATGCACCTCAGTGATCTCATCTATGAAACAGACTGGCCAAACCAGCTCCCAAGCTCCAAACTACTGCCACCTCTAAGTGGTTTAATCTGGTCTTGTCCTAACCACCACCTGCCACATGCAAGGGCTGAGGGGCTGGCCCTGCTTTTCTAATACCCAGCCATGACACTGGTGTCTGGGTGAGCCCCAGTTGAGGCATTCCATGGAAGGCAGCCAGGTTTCAGAGTGCCACCATCACAGGGGCCTGCCAGGGTCCCAGGTGGAAGAGCAGGGCCAAGTGGTACCCAGGCAGGGGCTGAAGGGGGTGGACGTTGCCAATGGTGAGGACCAGGGCCCCACCCCTGCAGCACCTCATTTGATCAGGATGGCACAGGCATGGGCCTCATCTTCTGCCAGGTTCCTCAGGTTCCTCTCCGACTCCTCAGAGGAGCTGCAAGATGGGGATGGTGCTCAGGGGTTGGGGCAGGGGAGCCCCTGGCAGCCCTGGGGAGGAGGCCTAGGGGACAGGGCAGCCCCTCCTGTGGACCTGCCCACCAGCCTCACCCCAGAAAATCCTTCACATCTTCCACTGTGACGTCCCCTGTCGTGTCCAGCGTGGTGTCAGCACTGGTGGCTGAGTCGATGGACATGGGTGAGAGTGCAGCCTCGGGTGGCTCTGGGGTGTCTGCAGGGAGCAAGTGATCAGCCCTTACCAGGACCCTTAGCACCCTCTGCACCTGGGGGCCTGGGGACACAGACCCAAAGGCAGCCCATGGTGAGGGGTGGCACCAATGAGCACACAACCACCCATCTCCTACAGAAGCCTGCCCGATCCCTGAGCTATGTGAATCCTGACTCCCTCTCCCAGGGCACTGTGGGGCCAGGGTCTGGACCCCTTTCATGCCCCCCTCACCAGGTCCCTTGCTGTGGGCTGGATCAGGGCTTCCATCAAGGCTCTGTGGGGCCAGGAGGATGCTTGGGGTCCCGTTAGCCTGGCTCAGCTTGGGTGACTCTCGGAGCCTGTAACTGCAGAGATGGGGCCATGATGGGGACCATAGGTGGATGACTCGAGGCTGGCACCCTAGATCCTTGCCCTCCCACTCCCGCGCCCAGGGAAGGCAATCTCGGGGGTGGGATGAGACCTGGCCCTGGTCACAGGTCCCCCAGGCTAGGGGCTGCCCCTCCACCCACCTGGCCTGGGTGGCATCGCGAGGCCAGTTAATGTCCAGAGAGCAAAGTGGCTCTGTGATGTTCCGGGCACTTAGGGAGAAGCGTTCAAATTCTGACGGGGATATCAGGTAAAAGCCTGGGTGGACAGAAGAATGAGGAGTGCAGTTAGGAGATGCCACCAACCACAGCTCCTCCGTGGCCTGGGCCAGTGCCCACCCGGAGTGCCCTTCCTGCTCCCAGGCAGTACTGGTCTTGCTCAGCTCGCTCGCCTGAGGAAGGCCGCCTCGGCCTCTGCCCCGTCTCACCCTGGCCATGGCGCGTGAAGACACATGAAGCGATGCCGCTGATGTCCTCCTTCCGGATGCAGGAGTAGTGCACCTGGGGTCGCAGGCCAGGCACCGAGAAGACGTGGACGTCACCCAGGTTGGTGAGGCAGGCCAGGCAGGTCTCAGCATAGTCCTCGCAGGCCACACTGGCAAACGTGGCCAGCGCCACCTTGCGCACACGACAGCCCTCATGGGCCGTCAGCTTGAACTTGGTCTTCGCGCTCACCTTGGGCAGTGTGAACACCTGACAGCAGGTGGCCAGTGAGCACATAGCCTGGCCCTGTCCTCATCCCCAGGGCCCCTCACCCTCATAGCTGCTGACCCACCAGCTCCCACCACAAAGCCCAGCTGCACTGCCACGTGGCCTCCCCTGCCTGTACACCTGACTGCCCCACTAAACTCCAGACTTCACACTGTACTCCAGAAACCTCCCAGGCCCTCTCTCCATCTGTCACAAAATCAATCACAGAGTGCCAAGATTATGAGACTGGTATCCCCACCAAACCTAGAGTTCTTTCGAGGCAGAGCCCCTGGGGACTGGAATCAGGGATCTGGGCAGGGTACAGGAGCCTTGTAGGGCACAGAGAGATAGGACTAGATTCCTGCCCTCCCAGGGGAACTGAGCAGGCTGAGGGGGTATCAGGGTTCTTCCATAGGAGTTCTCTGCTGACTGGGGGTGTTTTCTGGGGTGCAAGGGAATTAGGGTCCCAACGGTGGGGGATACAGGCAGGAAGGGGTTCTAGAGGGTCCAGTGGTGTCCATGAGGTTGGGGCCTGGAGGGGAGTCCCCCCCAGACTACAGTGGCTCACCTTGAACTGCTCCTCAGACGCGATGAGCACAGCGTGGCCACCCTGCATGTCAGGTGCCTGCGCCAGGTCCCGTGAGGCCTCGTAGGGCTCGGGCAGTGGGCGGCCACGCCCATCCAACACGGCAATGGCCACCACAGGTGCCCGGTGCATCAGCTGCACCTCCTTGCCCAGCACGGCCTCCACCGCTTGCTCAGGCCGCTTCTCACCACCCACTGCTGCTGCCGGCACCTCCAGCGCATAGGCGAACACGGAGCCTGAGTTGGTGCCAGCCCACATGGTGGGCCCGTGGTGGGCCCCTGCAGAAAACAAATGCATGAAGAGGGAGCTCCCTGTGGGCCAGGCATCTCCCCTGTGGTCTCCCCACAGACTGCAGGTCCCGCCCTGCCTCTCTTGTACCCCTGCTTCCTAACTATGACACCCTGGGACTCAGGGCTGGTTCCCTCCTGTCCCATGCCTCCCTGGTGACCTCCAGTCTCAAGGCCTGAGACCCCAGCTCTATGCTGCTGACTGCAGTCAGAGCCCAGGATGCAGCCCTCCTGCAGAGGCCCGAACAGTTGTAGCGCATCTGCACACGATGCCGACGGGCACCCAAACCAGACCCTGAGCCCTCCAGACCCATCCCACTGCACCCTCAGCCCCCATCTCAGTAAATGCAGCTCCATCCTAGCATCTCTCAGGCCCCAAGCCCCAGAAGACCCCAACTCCGTTCTCCACCCCCGCGTCCCCTTGCTAGTCCTGTCGACAGGTGCGCCTTGTCTCAGCCCTGCTTCACCCCCTTCATCTTCAGTGTGTTCCCTATGTGGCAGCCAGAGGAAGCCGCCAAGCCTGGGGACACCTACGATGCCCATCCATCGACCCTGCTCTGCCTGTGTGAACTGAACCTCTGGGGGACAAGCTTTAGTGGAGAATCGGAGCCCAGCCCAGCAGAAGCAAGAGCAGACTCACCACCTGCTCTTTGATGACCCGATGGATCCTGAGGCAGTAAGTGTCTGCGCAACTCAAAACATGCCCAACAGGAGCCCCAGCCGGCCATGAACATGAACCCATCGGCTTTCTCAGGCCAGTGGAACAAGTAAAAAACCCCAGGCTGTCCTCCTCTGGGTCTTTGTAGTCAGAAAAAACCAAAAAGTCAAAGAACCCCCCACCTCCAGCTGCACCCGCCACATCCAGACAGTGGGAAAATCCACTGCACAAAGACTCTCGACAAATAAATGGCATCAGAAACCTGAGCTCGTAGACCAAGCAGATGACACTCAGGAATTTACATCAGTTCTACAGGGCATGATGTGAGCAGTGACTGTCAGTGACATCTGTCAGGAACACGCTGAAGCGCTTGTGTCTGGGTTTTCGTTTAAAATACCCCCGCAAAAAACCAGCAAAGAGTGTGGGGGAGGTGCGCAGACTCCGCAAGGGGCACACGGCTGGCGGCAGGCATGTGAGATACGTGGGACAACTTTCCACCTATTTTTGTGTGTGTTTGAAATTCTCCCATTGTACAAGTTCAAAATCAATCAGTGACTCAATCAACAAACCCAGGACCTTCCCAGGGCTCCCAGGCCACCGAGAATCAAAGCCAGGTCCTCAGCCTCTGGCCAGCAGCAGTACCTCCCTGAGCCACACTCCTCGACCCTCACCTGCTCCACTCCAGCCAAGTGGCTGGGCAGCTGCCCACATGCATGCCCACCCCGGGGCCTGGACACTGGCTGGTGACCCTCACTGTCATCCACCAGGCCTCAACCTCTCTTCTCCTGGCTCAGATCTGAGAGGCCCACCCAGCTCACTCAAAAATCCATTACCATCCAGCTCCCCAAGGGACACTAGGGGTGACCCAGCAGTCCCCCTGGGGGAGCTAGATGGTAAGGGTTTTTTTTCTGAGAGGGTCTCACTCTGTTGCCCAGGCTGGAGTGCAGTGGCACGATCTCGGCTCACTGCAACCTCCGCCTCCCACATTCAAGCAATTCTCCTGCCTCAGCCTCCCAAGTAGCTGGGATTACAGGTGCCCGCCACCACACCTGGCTCATTTTTGTATTTTTAGTAGAGATGGGGTTTCACCATGTTGGCCAGGCTAGTCTCAAACTCCTGACCTCAGGTGATCCACCCGCCTCGACCTCCCAAAGTGCTGGGATTACAGTCGTGAGCCACTGTGCCCAGCCACATTCAGTAAAACTTTCAAACCTCCTGGAAGGTGCAGTCCCACCACCCATCACCCATGTGGCCAACTGAGGCCAGCCTCCCCAACCCTTGCCCCTTCTCTGTCCCTGCCTTACCATCTCGAAGGAATGTGTCGGCAAAGTATAGGCAACGCACGACGCCTGATAGGGAGTCATCAGCAGAGCGGGGCTCAATGCGGCGCTGCACAGGCGTCATCTCCACGTCGTGGGGGCAGGCCTGCTCGGCCAGCTGTGCATTGGCTTCCTGCAACTGCCGGGCAGGGGCTCCTGAACACCATCTCCCTAGCACCCCAGCGGCTTGCATCCTGCTTTGCGCCCTATGTTCTGTTACCATTCCTCCACCACCCAGCTCAGCTCACTCATCCCTCTAGAGAGCCCAGGGGCTGCCAAGGGAGGAGCACTGAGCTAAGCAGGCCCCAGGGGTCCCAGGCCAGGGCCAGGCCAAGGAACAGGACACAGGCACAGCTCCCGTGCAGCCCACCCCAGCTCACCTTGCTGCTGGCATTAGCAGCCCGCTTCTTGCCCGAGACACGGCTCTTGCGAATGCGCCGGAAAGACTGGCGCAGCGACTTCTTCAGAGACTTCACCCGGGAGAGTGGCCCCTCCATGGCCAGGGAGTCATTGGGGTGAAGAGTGCACCTGGGGGCAGACAGGGTCCAGCTGTGCTACAGAGCAGCCTCCTGGAGCAGCCACCACACTCCTGCTGGCCTGTGGAGGCACCCAGGTCAGGGAGTCACAGCCCCTCTGGCGCAGTCCTGTGGACCCAGCTGCTGCTGGTGCTGAGAATGTCCTTCTTGGAGCTGCCAGGTTATTTCTTATGGGGCAATGGAGGTTAGTGGGGCCTTTGCCACACCAAACACGAGAGGTGGAAACAGAAGCCGAGACCCCATCTCGCTGGGGGCTCCAGCTGCCCAGCCGCCCCCACCCCACACACCTGGCCAGCACAGGGCTCTTGCGCTGGTAGTCGAAGAGGCCAAAGCCATGACTGGTGCCAAAGGCCACGAGGCTCCACTCGGTGTGGAGTGTGACAGCGGTGACAGCAGCTGGTGGCAGGCACTGCACCAGGACACGGGGCTGGAAGCCAGCAGGCCAGGGCAGCGGCCCCGTGCGTGGGCTCAGCCGCTCATGGCCCTTCCACGTGAAGCCCTCGCGGTCCTGGAGGAGGTCTATGATGGCCACGCTGACCGCCTGCTCCACCGGCACGTCACTGAGCTCCAGTACCAGCACCTGAGCCCACAGCCAGGCAGGTTGAGCATCAGCACAGGGGAGGGGCCGCCCTGGGCCCCACTCAGCCTGTAGCCTCTGAAGCAGCCCCAGCCGCCACCAAGGTGGTTCTAGGACTGTCTTCAGTTCATCAGCTACATAAGCACTCACTGAATGCCTACTGTATACCAAGGCCCTCGCTGAGCACAAGGAACACAGTGATGAACAAGACACACTAGTCCCTGCCCTCTAAGGGCAAATGTTCACCCTTACCCGGAGCCTTTATCTCCCATTTAGCAATAAGGACACATTGAGCCCCTCCTGTATGTAGTATGAACGCCGGAGCACAGCACTGACATGAGTTCCCGCCCCTCCTCAACACTGTGGTTCCCCCAGCGACAGGCGCACTTCCCATCTGTCCTCACCCCAGCCAGCCCCACCCAGAGCCCTATTCCCACCTTGGCTTTTGCCTGTGCCAGTCCATCTCCCTCTCCACCAGACCCTCCAGTTCAGACCCATCTCTTCCAGAAAGCCCTCCCTGACATCTCCAACCCAGGGGACACCCAGCCCTACCTGGCCTGCAGTGCCAGCCACCACCATCTGGGCTGTATACTTGCAGAGAGCAACCTTCTGCACGCCAAGCCGGGGATCGTCACTGTAGGGATCAAAGCAGCCCACCTAGAGGGATGGGAAGGAGTAATGAGTCCAGGCAGAGTTGGGACCAGCTCATCAGGGCCAGGGGAGGGGCCCACCTTGCGGAAGGGTGGCCAGTCGTCCTCGGCAGCCTGGGCCAGGCTGTCAGCGTGCTCACAGTCCGTCTGGAAGAGGCCAGCTGTGCTCAGCTTATAGAGCGGCCGCAGCGCCACACCCGAGGCATCCCAGAACCTCACAGTGCCATCCTCATGGCTGCAGGGAAGGCAGATGTCAGGGCTACCCCTGGGTTCCTGTGAGGCCTGCACACCCCTCCATTCACTCACCCGATGACCACTCACTAAGCACCTACTGCACATGCCAAACACTGACCAGAATCTTATTGTTACAAAAAACAACAGGCACCTACTGTATACAGCACAGGCGCACCGTGCACCTGCTATATGCCAGGCCACATGCACCACATGCACCTGGGCCCTTTAAACCACAGGGTGGAAATGACCACCCTGATTAACAGGAGATGGCCAAGGGGGACATGTAGAGAACAGAGGACTATGGGGGTTCTGCCTGCACTGCAGCAGCCATCAAAGGTGATCAAGAGCAAGGCAGTCACAGAACAGAGCGTGGGGCATCCCAGGGGAGGAGCTGCCTGGGGCCCGAGGCAATCACGTAGGTGGAGGAGCAGGAAGACTGCAGAGGCCAGGAGGAAGCAGGGAGGGCGCAGAGGAAGTAGACAAATCTATGGCGCAGCCTTAGGACACAGCTGCAGAGCCCAAGCAGGGCCCCGGGCAGTGGTGAAAGCCCAGAGGCAGGGCGTGAGAGGTGTGTGACTGTGGGGCGGGTGTGAGGTGTGTGACTGTGGGGTGGGGTATGAGAGGTGTGTGTGACTTCATGGGAGCAGGCGTGAGAGGTGTGTGAAGAGCTGTGAGGCGGGTGTGAGGTGTGTGACTGTCTAAGTGGAGTGTGAGGTGTGTGTGGGGTGGGTGTGAGGTGTGTCTGTGGGGTGGGTGTGAGGTGTGCTTGACTGTGGGAGTGGGTGTGAGAGGTGTGTGTGGGGTGGGTGTGAGGTGTGTGACTATGCAGAGTGGGTGTGAGGTGTGTGTGGGAATTGAGTGTGAGAGGTGTGTGTGGGTGGGTGTGAGAGGTGTGTGTGGGGTGGGTGTGAGAGGTGTGTGTGGGGTGGGTGTGAGAGGGGTGTGACTGTGGGGTGGGTGTGAGAGGAGGAATTGTAGTAGTAGTAGAGGTGGTGAGAGGTGTGTGGGTGGGTGTGAGAGGTGTGTGGGGTGGGTGAGAGGTGTGTGGGGTGGGTGTAGAGGTGTGTGACTGTGGGGTGGGTGTGAGAGGTGTGTGACTGTGGGGTGGGTGTGAGGTGTGTGTGGGGTGGGTGTGAGAGGTGTGTGTGGGGTGGGTGTGAGAGGTGTGTGTGGGGTGGGTGTGTGAGGTGTGTGTGGGGTGGGTGTGTGGGGTGTGTGTGGGGTGGGTGTGAGAGGTGTGTGTGGGGTGGGTGTGAGAGGTGTGTGGGGTGGGTGTGTGAGGGGTGTGTGGGGTGGGTGTGAGGTGTGTGTGGGGTGGGTGTGAGGGGTGTGTGTGGGGTGGGTGTGAGAGGTGTGTGTGGGGTGCGTGTGTGAGGTGTGTGTGGGGTGGGTGTGTGAGGTGTGTGTGGGGTGGGTGTGAGAGGTGTGTGACTGTGGGGTGGGTGTGAGGTGTGTGACTGTGGGGTGGGTGTGTGAGGTGTGTGTGGGGTGGGTGTGAGAGGTGTGTGGGGTGGGTGTGAGAGGTGTGTGTGGGGTGGGTGTGAGGGGTGTGTGTGGGGTTGGTGTGAGAGGTGTGTGTGGGGTGGGTGTGAGAGCTGTGTGTGGGGTGGGTGTGAGAGGTGTGTGGCTGTGGGGGTGGGTGTGGGGTGTGTGTGGGGTGGGTGCTGAGGAGGTGTGTGTGGGGTGGGTGTGAGGAGGTGTGTGGGGTGGGTGAGAGGTGTGTGTGGGGTGAGTGTGAGAGGTGTGTGTGACTGTGGGGTGGGTGTGAGAGGTGTGTGACTGTGGGGTGGGTGTGAGAGGTGTGTGTGGGGTGGGTGTGAGAGGTGTGTGTGTGGGGTGGGTGTGAGAGGTGTGTGTGGGGTGGGTGTGAGAGGTGTGTGACTGTGGGGTGGGTGTGGGAGGTGTGTGTGGGGTGGGTGTGAGAGGTGTGTGTGGGTGGGTGTGAGAGGTGTGTGTGGGGTGGGTGTGAGGTGTGTGGGTGGGTGTGTGAGGTGTGTGTGGGGTGGGTGTGGGAGATTGTGTGTGGGGTGGGTGTGGGAGGTGTGTGTGGGGTGGGTGTGAGAGGTGTGTAGGGTGGGTTGAGGTGTGTGGGTGGGTGTGAGAGGTGTGTGTGTGGGGTGGGTGTGTGAGGTGTGTGTGGGGTGGGTGTGGGAGGTGTGTGTGGGAGTGGTGTGGGAGGTGTGTGGGGTGGGTGTAGGAGAGGTGTGTGTGGGGTGGGTGTGAGAGGTGTGTGACTGTGGGAGGTGGGTGTGTGAGGTTATTGGGAATTGGGTGTGTGGGGGTGTGTGACTGTGGGGCGGGGCGTGAGAGGTGTGTGACTGTGGGGTGGGTGTAGAGGTGTGTGACTGTGGGGTGGGTGCTTGAGAGGTGTGTGACTGTGGGGTGGGTGTGTGAGATGTGTGTGGGGTGGGTGTGTGAGGTGTGTGGGGTGGGTGTGAGAGGTGTGTGTGGGGTGGGTGTGAGAGGTGTGTGGGGTGGGTGTGTGAGGTGTGTGTGGGGTGGGTGTGTGAGGTGTGTGTGGGGTGGGTGTGAGAGGTGTGTGTGGGGTGGGTGTGAGGTGTGTGACTGTGGGGTGGGTGTGTGGGGTGTGTGTGGGGTGGGTGTGAGAGGTGTGTGTGGGGTGGGTGTGAGAGGTGTGGGGTGGGTGTGTGAAAGTGTGGGGTGGGTGTGAGAGGTGTGTGTGGGGTGGGTGTGAGAGGTGTGTGTGGGGTGGGTGTGAGAGGTGTGTGACTGTGGGGTGGGTGTGTGAGGTGTGTGACTGTGGGGTGGGTGTGAGAGGTGTGTGGGGTGGGTGAGAGGTGTGTGTAGGTGGGTGTGAGAGGTGTGTGTGGGGTGGGTGTGAGAGGTGTGTGTGGGGTGGGTGTGAGAGGTGTGTGTGACTGTGGGGTGGGTGTGAGAGGTGTGTGACTGTGGGGTGGCTGTGAGAGGTGTGTGGGGTGGGTGTGAGGTGTGTGACTGTGGGGTGGGTGTGAGGTGTGTGACTGTGGGGTGGGTGTGAGGTGTGTGACTGTGGGGTGGGTGTGAGGTGTGTGACTGTGGGGTGGGTGTGAGAGGTGTGTGACTGTGGGGTGGGTGTGAGAGGTGTGTGGCCGGGTGGGTGTGAGGTGTGAGGTGTCTGTGGGGTGGGTGTGGGGTGTGTGACTGTGGGGTGGGTGTGAGAGGTGTGTGTGGGGTGGGTGTGAGAGGTGTGTGTGGAGTGGGTGTGAGAGGTGTGTGACTGTGGGGTGGGTGTGAGGTGTGTCTGTGGGGTGGGTAGAGGGTGTGTGACTGTGGGGTGGGTGTAGAGAGGTGTGTGACTGTGGGGTGGGTGTGAGAGGTGTGTGTGGGGGTGGGTGTGAGAGGTGTGAGGTGTCTGTGGGGTGGGTGTGAGGGTGTGTGACTGTGGGGTGGGTGTGAGAGGTGTGTGTGGGGTGGGTGTGAGAGGTGTGTGTGTGGGTGGGTGTAGAGAGGTGTGTGACTGTGGGGTGGGTGTGAGGTGTCTGTGGGGTGGGTGTGAGAGGTGTGTGTGGGGTGGGTGTGAGGTGTGTGACTGTGGGGTGGGTGTGAGAGGTGTGCTTGACCAGCCCAAATTGGTTAAGACTCACTCTGGCAGCCCTGAAAGCCACAGCAAGCTCTTCAGCAGGGAAGGGCACACTGGAGTCAGAGGCCTGAGGGTCCCAGCACAGGCGGGAGTAGGGGCAGGGCAGGGAAGTTGGGTCTGAGTCACCGGGCACATCCAGCGCCCATGAGCCCAGGCTGGGCTCTCTAGCTGCCTGAGCAGTTCAGCGTGGGCCAGCCCAGATTTCCAGTCCCAGGGCAGGCAGGCTGGGCGGGTGGAGCCCTGGGGTTTGGTAGAGCTCAGTTCCAGGCCAAAAGGCAGATCAGGGCAACAGCAGACCAAAGGTCCAGAGGTTTCATTCCAATCCACCTTGGGCGAGGAGGAACTGCCTGGTCCACTGAGGGCAGGCCTGAGTCTCCTGGCACCTCTGCACCACCAGGCCCAGGATGGAGTTCTCTCCCAACAGCAAAGACACTCACCCACATAAGCACGCACACCTGCCCGGTCAGCAGCAACCCTCGCTGAGATGGCTCCTGGGCAGGTTTGGCCCCCAGTGATGGGCCAGCTCTGGGAGGGGAGTGCAAGATGTGCACAAGAGTTAGGACAAGTATCTTCTCCCCTTCCACCCGAGCATGGCATTCTGACCTCAGCTTAGAAGTGAAACACTCCTCCCCTCCTCAAGACTCCACCCTGTAAGACCCCCTGATCCCCACACAAGGCACTGGAGACAGGCTGGGAGCTCTGCTGCTCGCCAGCGCTCACAATGCGGGCCTGGCTTGGCGGGCACATTGGCCACGTGGGCCGAGGCAAGTGATTGCAGATGAGTGCAGCGGGGCCAGGTATGGGGCAGGCACAGCTGGCCAGCCAGGAGTCTGCAGGTCCAGCACCACCAGCTCCTCTTCCAGCAGCACAGCCAGGGCCTGGGGGTCATCAAATTCTGTTGGATGGAGCGGGTATGGGGTGAGCACAGTCATAGGTGGCAGAGGGCACCAGGTGGGGCTAGAAAGGGTAGAGATGCGGCAGGGCACACACCATCCTCCAGGCGTGCATAATGCACTGTGAAGAAGTCGATGATGCGGGAGGTGAGTCAGTCGCAGTATCTCGGCTCGAAGGCACGCCACACAGTGGCGGTCACCATGGCCCAACACGGGGCATGCCACCGCTGAAGATAAAAGTGGCCCTGTATGCAGAGAGTTGTGAGCCATGAACCACTTGGAGTCCCAAGCACATACTGCACAACCCAGGAAGAGCCCACCCTTCCAGCCCCCTAGCCAGGCCAGCGGCTCACGTCGGACACCCGCTCCCCTGACCTACCCAGACTCACAGGTCCATACAGAATCTTGTTAATGGCCTTTGCAGGAAAGGGAGCCTGAGGGGTGGGACAGGCGTCCAGACCAGACTCGCTAGTGGTTCTTAGCAATTCTGCCATTCCTGCTCTGCCCACTCCCACTGCTCTCTACCTTGCAGCTGCCTCCTGCCTCCCAGAAGTCGGCGGGAGGCACTGCCACCAGACCACCCCCTCGGGAGTCACTCCCTCAGCCAGTTTGGCTTGGCTCAGTGGTGCCCCCTCCATCACCACCACTCTGTCTAAGACCTCCCGGCACTCACCGTAGATTATGGTGGCTACCGTGGGCTGCAGGCGTTGGGAGCTGCCGGCATCCCACAGACCAGACAGCATAAGCTGCCACCATCACTGTGTGAGAGCCCCGACCACAGTGCTGCTATCAACCCCAGCATAGGCTCTCCAGCTGCTGTGGGCAGGCAGGGGCAGGCAGGCAGGCATGAGCCATGGTGGGCACGCACTAGGGGCCCAGGCTGAGGGACACTGGCCTCCACCCATACCTGGTTCCCCAGGAAGGCGTGGTCCCACCCTGCGAGGCACAGTTTCCAGATGACTTGGCGAGCCGGCTGTAGCCAATGAAGTCTTCGTGGGGTCCGCAGGTGTCCTGGGTGACTCCACGAGACCCAGCGCCTTCCACAGCGGTAGTCATCTGACGCTGTGGAGAGGCAGGTGAGCCAGTAGAACCTCCTGGGCTAGAGTGTGTGCTGGGAAGCCACCGGCCTCTCACCTGCGCAGAACCTCGCCTGGGGCAAGCGTCTGCCCTCGAGCCAGGGTCCAGGGGTGGTAACATCAGGAAGAAGACACTGCTGCCCTCAGTGCCCAGGGCTGCTATGTACGCGGCAGCCTGGCAGGACCACTGTGACTCGGATAAGGCTGGCGGAGCGCTGCAGAGAACAAGGGAAAGGGAGTGAGGTGCAAGCCCATCCACCTGGTGAGGTGGGGTGTGAGAGCTGGGCCACTGCTGATAACTCATCACTGGCCCCACAGCGCTCACTAGGGCCTACTTACAGAGCCACCCCAGGAAGACATGCGTCATATCAGCCCGCTCAATTATTCATAAGGATGTCAGCAGGAGACAGATGAAACTAGGTTCCCAGGTCTTGCAGACTGGGCTCCATCCTCCCACCCCACCAGGAGAGAGGACAGCAGGAACACGGCATTGCCCAAGAAGCCAGGACTAGGATCTCCCTGCAGGCCCCTCCTAGGAATCCCCCTGCCAGCCCTCAGACATCTCTGACTTCACAGGAGGCCCCAGATAACCCTCATCTGCAGAAGCTGGGAGGCATCAGAATCCATCCTGGGTTAGGACTCCCCTTTTCCAGCTATTTCAGGCAGGGCTGGGGAGAGACTCCCATACTCTCACCCAGCTGGGGCATGCTGCCCAACTGTACAAGCACAGCCCATTGGGACCCTCCCCTTGCCTCAACCCTGCCCTTTCACCTGTGCACAGAAGGCCTGTCTCCCACCCACAACTGGAAGGGAGCCAGGGAACCCTGCTCTTACTAACTGGCTTAGGCCCTGCCCCAAACCCTAGACACCCCCATCACTGCAGTAAGTGTAATTGCCAGGCCTCGGAGTCCTAGGAGTTTGGCATATAATGCATGTACCTCCTGCTGCTCACAATGCTAATTACCTGCTCATGTTGGACTCAACCCAAACCTCCCATTTAACCTGAAAAGTTCACAGAGTATACCTCAGTAAAGCAGGTCAATAGCATGGCCAGGACCTAGGCCCAGCTCAAGGCATCCTGCCCTGGTCCACAGCCCCCTGGCAGCTGCCTGTCTCCATGCTGCCTCTGCATGAGTTCTGAACTCCCCCAGATCCTCCCTGCCCAGTGGCTGGCTAGCCAAGTTCTCACAGTACCTGGCACCATCAGCTTGGACTGGGCAGCTGGAAGCTGAGTGCCTCTTCAGGTGGGCACAGCCATTATGGTGGACAATCTCAGAGATGCAGGCTGCTGTCATCAGCAGGGTCAGGAGGCGGCCCTGGTGTGTGAGCAGAGATGAAAACTAGGCTGGCCTAGGAGGTGAGAGTAGATATGGGGGCCACAGAGGCTGGCTGAGGTGATGGGAAGCAGGCTCACCTGGCCGGGCAAGGAGATTGCATCTGTGTGGCCAGTGGCTGCATCCCGGTGCAGGCCTGTGAACTCCACGCCAGGTGCACCATAGCTGAGGGTGGCAGGTCAAGGTGGAAACAGGCATGGACCAGCAAACCCGGCCAGTGAGATACCCAAGGCTCTCTTAACCCGGAGTATTCCAGTGGACCCCGGCATGGGCCTGCCCATCCAGGAGGCCTCCCTGAAGAACGGAGGCCCCCTCCCTAAAGCTCCCACCCTGCACCCCTACAGTATCCCTAGATCGTGCAGGCTCCTCCACTCTTGCAAGTCGGGTGCTGCTATAGGACCTTCAGGTTCAAGTGGCTTGAACCCAGTAGCGCCCACCTTACAGGGCTGTTGCAGATCCAGTGAGAACAAACACACCCAGCAGGCTCGGCCTCAGCCTGGTGAGAGGCTGGGGCTCCGCTCCACTTCAGCCCCACGTTTCACATGGGCTCTGGGGCTACGCCTTGCCAGATGGGATCAGAGGAGCCAGTGCAAGGCCTGGACAAAGAAAGCCAGGAGCAAGAGAGTCAGACTGTCTTTTCCCATAGCTTCAGGCAAACTTCAGCCATGGTGAAAACCCACCTCCGCGAGTATAGTGGCTCACTCCTGTAATCCCAGCACTCTGGGAGGCTGAGGCGGGTGGATCACAAGGTCTGGAGTTGAGCCAGCCTGGCCGGGGTCAGTGAAACCTGCGTCTCTATTAAAAATGCAAAAAGTAGCCAGGCATGCTGGCAGGCGCCTGTAATCCCAGCTATTTGGGAGGCTGCAGCAGAGAATTGCTTGACTCCAGGAGGCAAAGGCTGCAGTGAGCCGAGTGTGCCACTGCACTCCAGCCTGGGCGAAAGAGTGAGACTCTGTCTCAAAACACAGCAACAAAGGAAACCCACCTCCTCAGGGCAGGCAGCCAACAACTGCCACCTTGAGGGAGGAGAGACCAACCTGCCCATTTAACAGATGAGCACACAGAGACTGGGAGGCGTGGGTGACCTGCTTGAAGTGCCCAGTGTCAGTGCCTCAGTCCCGGCAACTCCAGGGCTGATGGTGGACAGCAGGGCCTGAAAGAACCCCAGAGACAGAGGTGCAGGGAGGAGTCAACCAGCGTTGCCCGGTGACAACACCCAGGAGCCGTTGCCTGGGCTTGAGCTGGGGATTCCCTACAGGAGCCTGGCGAGAAACTCTGAAGAAGGGACAAAAGAAGGGACAGGAGCAGCTGGGCGGGAACCAGGGTCGTCAAGGAGATGGGAGCCCGGTCTGGCAGGGGAGGCAGCTTCTAATGACCAGGGCTGGCCCTCTCAGCCTCAGTTTCCCCCAGCCGAGGGCTCAGGCAGTGGTGGTCAGGAAGAAGGGAGAGGACCCCGAGCTCCAGCCTCCTTTCTGAGGCTCAGTCTCCTCATCTGCACTTCAGGTTCTTTTTGAGCCTGAGGACAAGAGCACAGGAGACCCCAACACAGGAGGGACACGTGAAGGCTGCAGGGATACATGTGCGGATGGCAGCGCAGCACCCACGGGAGTGGGGAGCAGCAGGCCAGGCAGTGGGGCATGTCGGGCCCAGAGTACTGCCCTACTCACCCACAGGTGCTGCTAGGGCCATGGGAGAGAAGGGGACATCTCAGCCCATCCGCACTCCCCAGAGTAGGCAAAGAGCTCACAAACCACAGGCTCAGACTCCCACCCCTGGGAGTGAGACCCCATCCCACACCCTCCCCTTTCCAGCATTGGCCACATTTCTGGGAACTGATGTCGAAACCAGGATACTGGGAAACTCAGGAGCCACACAGGAGAGGTAGGGGTCAGCACCCCTCACCAGATCGCCATCAGCCAGACCCTGGCACCTCGGCTTCCCCAAGAGCAGTTGGGGTGGGATTCTCCAGGGCCAGCACAGAGACACTGAGCTGCTGGCCTGCCTCCACCACCCCGGAGCCTGCAGGGGAAAATGCCCGCTTTGTGTGGCTCACACAGCCCATTGTGCAGCAGCCAGGATCCAGGTGGGGGCCGTGCTGCACTCACCACATCACGAGGAGCCTGGCACTGCCCCCAGCCCCTTGGCTGGAACACATGTCTCTTCACATTCCACACGTGTGTGCATTGGCTCTGGGGCCCCAGCCCACCTGCCATCCTCCATGGGTATCACAGCCCAGCCCCCCTGCCTGGCCTCCCCAGAGTTGCTGGGATGATGGCAGGGTCGCCTAGGTAACTGGCTGGCTGACACGTGAGGACAGCTGTGCTGCTGGGAAGCTGACCACCCGTCTCTCAGCAAAAGGACCCCATCATCTCTGCACAGTCATCTCAGGTACAGAAGCCCGCCAACCTCACCAAGATCCACAGCACTTACTGTGCAGCGCCCACAGAAGCCCCCTACTGCCCAGCAGAGCACCTCTGTTCTGCTCGAGCTGGAGCGCTGCCAAGACCAGGACCCCCAGAACACAGGAACTACAGGCAGGTGGTCCTGAACAGACCTGAACACCTAGCCTGCAAAGGATACATCTTGACAGCCCCAGACCTGGTGCCAATGGCCATGATGCGAAGTTCAGGGTCGAAGGCCAGAGTAGCCTAGACTGTTAAATAATGCTCCACCGTCTGTGAGGAGGAACGGCTGCTGGGGGTAAGCACTCCCAGGCACCTCTGCCAGTAGCCCACCTAGAGGCCCACCCCAAGGCTGGCCTCCAGGGTCTGCAGCTGACACACTGCGGGTAGGCAGGTCTACTTGCTCTGTGCCTCAGCACCCTCAACTGTGAAATGGGTTATCATGCCTCCAGTTGGTGGGGAGGTAGCTAAACCCTGGGCTCCATCAGCAGCTCTACCGCGCGCATGACCCACAGAGGCCCCCTGCGCCACGCCCCATGCCCCTCAATGCACACGGGCTCATGAGCCCCACTGCATGAGGCTCCAGCAACAAACAGGTGAAGCGAGCTCACAGAGATGCAGGCACTGACGAGGCCCCGCCTCCGTGAGGCTCCGCACCCCGTACTTAGAGGCACAGACTAAAGCTTGAGAGTCCCATGATGTCGCGGCCTCCCCAAACACAGGCCTGAGTGGAGTCCAGAGGTCAAGGGGGACAACACCCAGGATCAGCTAGGCAGAGGCTTTTGACTCCCTCCCAGACAGAGAGGGAGATGGAGGCCAGAGAGGGCAGCTTTCTGCCTGGACCCTGAAGGCATCTTCCCGCCTCCCCACCTGCCAACAGCTAGGCAACATGACTCCCACGCCCATCAGCGGCAGAGGTGGCGTTAAGGAGGGTTGTGTGCCCAGAGTGTCGATGGAACAGCTTCCCACCCGCTCCCCTGCCCCTTTTCACAGGCGCAGGCCCTTCTGTGCGGTCTCCTGTCTTTGGCCTGGCTGTGCTCTCCTAAGGAAGCCTGCACAGCTGAGCTCCAGCCCCATCTGAACACCAGTATAGGACACCCATGTGGGTCAATGAGTACCTCCTTTTATTTTGTTGTTGTTGTTATTTATTTATTTTTTACTTTTACCACTGGTAATTCCTGACCCACTGCCTCAGGAAGACCTGCATTTGTAGAAACCCCAGTTCCCAGCCTGTAACCCCAACCTCCCTCCCTGCCTGTCTCAACCCATCCAGGTGGGGACTGAGCCCTCTGGGCAGCTGGTTGATCATGGCCTGGCTGTCTGGCCTTGGGCAAGTCACAGTACTCTCCAAGCCTCAGTCTCTCATAAGGGCCCTGGGGACAGTAAGCCCAACTAAGGACAGAGTTGGCCATTTGGCTGGGGCTACTCTCTCCACCAATAATGCCACACCCTTGCTGCACCTGACCTTGTCTAGCCAGTCCCTTGCTACAACCAGGATCCACAGACGGGACATCGCATCACAAATCCCCACAGCCTTCCCTCTTTACAGAAGAGGAAAGGAGGAGTTATGCTCACTGTCCACCATCACTTCCCTCATACCCACGCCCAGCCCATTTCTGAGCCCCATCAACTCAGTTTCAAAACACACAGAAGTCACCCCCCTCCCTGCTCCAGGCCCCACTGTCACTCACCTGGATTGGGTACTCACTACAGTCTGTTCCCACACAGAAGCCAGAGGGGATCCTATGAAAGCCACAGCCAGATCCTGCGTCCCTCCCTGCTCAGGATCCTCCTGGGGTTCCCAGCTAAGGAGGCTTGTGCCTCAGGGCCTTTGCCTACTGCCCTCTGCCTGGCATGCACTTCCTCCAGCACTTCCTGTCGCTCAGGAGTCATCTCCTCAGAGGCCTCCCTAAGTAACCTGGCTGCAGCAGCCGCCCTGGCCACACCTCCCTCCCCCTCGCCCTGCTTTATTTGATCCACAGCACTGGCTAACATCCCAACTACTATCTATTCTATTTTTTTTGTTTTGGCTTTCACTGTCTCCTGCATTAGCATATCAGCCGCCTGAGTTAAGACATATTTGTCCTTTTTGATAACTCTGTGTCACAGAACCTTGGAGACCTCACACACAGTGGGGCTCAGTATTAACAGAGAAGGCACACTCCACAGGCGACATATGGGCTGGACTGGGATTTGAACCCAAGACTCGAGTCAAAGTCCCTGCTCCTCTGACCTGTCTCCACCCCCAAACTCTCAGGAATCAGAGCCTATTCCTAAGCGATCCCCTATGACCCACTTAGGTGACTAGATCCCTTCCCAAGACCACCCCACTTTCCCACCACTGCTGCCACTTCATCCCCTCCAGTGGAGGCCCTTACTTCCACACCCCAAGGCTAGACAGAGCGGGCTGAGCTTCATTCCCATCTGTCTCCAGTCCCCGCTGCACACCCCAATTTACTGGCTGAAGAAATGACATTTAGGCCAGGCATGGTAGCTCATGCCTGAAAATCCTAGCACTTTGGGAAGCCAACATGGATGGATAGATAGCTTGAGCCCAGGAGTTCGAGACCATTCGGCAACATGAAGCAAAACCGCACCTCTACAAAAATACAAAAACTAGCCGGGCAGCATGCTGACGCCCAGGCCTGTAGTCCCAGCTACTCAGGAGGCTGAGGTGGGAGGATCACCTGAGCCAGGGAGGTTGAGGCTGCAGTGGGCTGGGACTGTGCCACTGCACTTCAGCCTGGGTGAGAGTGAGACCACGTCTCAAAAAAAAGTGACACATTTAGCCCTGAGCCTGTTGCTGCCTTTTTCCTGAAAGGCCATTCTCCTCTCCCACTGCTACTCTCATAGCCTCCCAGCACAGAAAACAGGCACCATCCCTGGAGACCACGGAGCACAGCTTCCTCTGGGCCCCCTCTCGGAGTTCCTGGCAGGTTCTCAGCCACCCTGTGAAGGTCCTGGCAGCTCTCACCGGCAACCACTGCAGACCTGGGCAAAACCCTGAGACATCCCAGATGCCTCTGCTCTCAGGTCCAACTGTCCCGAGCCTCCTCCAAGACAAGAGGTCTCCTCAAAGGCAGCCCAGGGCACCTGCACAACACTGGCCCAGGACCACAGCAGCCCCTTGGAAAAATCCCTGCCCCTCAAGGAAGCCAAATCCAACCCCACTGACACAGGAACTGAGAAGATATTGGTGCAGCTCACTCTGACTCTGGGCAAGCGTCACCTCTCTCAGAACCTCAGATTTTCTCACCTGTATTTTAGAGATAACTCCTAATTTGAAGAGTACTGAGAGGCTCTGCGATCCGTGGGCTCTGGGAGTAGAATGAGAGGACAAAACCAAAACGCCCCCAGAGGAGTGAGCCAGGAGCAGGCTGGGGCCCTGCTCTAACATCAGTGCATAGGGAGGCGGGGGGCTGAGGCGGCCCTTTCCCTGGCCCTAGTGTCCCACTTGGGGAAGGAAGGGAAAGCCCTCCCACCTCCTCCACCTTGGTGCGGGCAACAGGACAGCTGGCCCATGTGGCAGAGGGAGCCAGGGCCCACAGTAAGGAGAAAAGTAGCCTCATTTCACAGCTAGGGAAACTGAGGCCCCACGATGTGAAGGGCAGTGCAGTACACAGCCAGGCATGTCCCCTGGACTCGGGGCCCCAGGCGGGAGGGGAGAGCAGGGCAAGGCAGAGCCTGGAGCAGTGGGGTGAGGAAGGAGAGGCTCCTTGAAGGGATTTCCCATGCCACCCCCACAGCTGCCTTGTCCCCTGCTCTCTCGCCTCCTGCATGCCCAAAGCACAAAACAAACCGGGGCCTTGGCTGTCAGGAGCCGAGCAGGGACGCAAAGGAGCCCCAAAGAAAAAGGATAAAGAGACAGAGAGTGAGCGACAGAGAACAGGTCGAGAGACTCCACAGAGAGAGAGAGAGAGAGAGACACGCAGGGGAGAGACAGGCAAAGACTCAGAGACGCAGAGGCAGAAGAGAAATGAGGCAGAGAGATAAAGGGAGACGAACCCAAAGATAGGAAGGGGCAGAGGCAGAGACACCCCCACCACACACACAGGCACAACTGGGGCGAGGAAGCCGGTCAGCGACGGACAAAGTGGGGCAGAGACCCAAAGACAGGCAAAGAGTCTCAGAGACAGAGAGACCCAGACACACAGAGACTGGCAGACCCAGGGCCAGAGCGGCCCTGGGACTCGGGAGCAGGCACGGAAAGTCGGCCGGAGACCCAGACCCACCCAGAGTCGAGCCAGAGCTGGGCCCGAGGAGGGTGCGCGGCCCGGCCCAGCCCCCGCCCCGCGCCGCGCTGCATGCCAGCCCCCCGCCCCCAGGCCCGACGTGTCCGACCCCGGGTCCCCAGCCCCGGGCCCCGGCCGCCCACCCCACCCGAGCCCGCGCCCGCGCCGCGCCGCAGCCGCACGCACCGTGTTGAAGGCGAAAAGCTCCTGCGCCAGGCTTCTCGCTGCTGCAGGTCGGCGCCCTGCCGCCGGAACCGAAACTTCATCATCTTGCGCCCGGCTGCCAGCGCCGCGCCCGCCGCCGCCGCCGCCGCCGCCGCCGCCCGCAGGATGCGCCGCGCGGCCGCCGGTCTGAGGCGCGGGCGGGGCGCCAGGCGGCAGGCCATGGCGCGCGGGGCCGGGCCTGCACGGGGTGGGCGCAGAAGGGCGCGACGGACGCACCATCCGACCAATGAGCATGCCCGCCGTACCGCCCGCCCCGCCCCTGTTGGCCAGACAATGGTGAACTGGGCCCCGGGCTCGGCCGGGCTCGCGAAGGACGCCCGCCTAGCCTGCGCCGCGGCTGGGGGTCTGCCGGGACGTGTAGTCCAGCAAGGCCGGGGCTCCAACAGGATGCGCCGCGCGGCCCCGCCGGTCCTGAGGCGCGGGCGGGGCGCCAGGCGGCCCGGGCGCGGGCGCGCGGGGCCGGGCCTGCACGGGGGTGGGCGCGGGGCGCGACGGACGCACCATCCGACCAATGAGCATGCCCGCCGTACCGCCCGCCCCGCCCCTGTTGGCCAGACAATGGTGAACTGGGCCCCCGGGCTCGGCCGGGCTCGCGAAGGGACGCCCGCCTAGCCTGCGCCGCGGCGCGGGGTCTGCCGGGACGTGTAGTCCATGAGCCGGGGCTCCAACGCGGGCGGCTAGGGAAGCGCTTTGGAGGGGGACTGGCGCATGTTCCTGGGCTTGGAGAAGATTTTTTCCTCTTCCCAGAGAGCGAGCGACGTGCCCACTCAAATAATGGGGCAGCCCTATTCCGAAAGCCAAGAGATCTCTGACTGGAACAACTCCCTGGCCCCTCTGCGCCTCAGTTTCCCCATCTACAACATTGGTCAAGTGATTGCCAAGTTTATAGTTTACTATTCTTACAGAACTCCATTTTGTCTGTTCCTCGCTGTGTCAGAGCACCTCCCACCGCCGTGCTTTTTTGCCTTGGCTTTATAGTCAGGAATTCTTTCCTCACCCCCAGCCCCTGGGGAACTCCTACACATCTTTCAGGACCCAACGCAAAAGGCTCTGTCACAGTACAGGGGATTCTTTCTTAGCCAAAGAAAGAGACGGGATACCCAGGAGGTGGCATTTGGGACTGTTCTGGGGTTGGATTGGGGCTTTACTGAGATGGGGGAAGGGCCTGCCCCCACAGAGAACAGTGTATGAACAAAGCTTAGCCCTGCCCCTACTGTCTGAGGGGCCGTCTGCCTGTCCCCACCCACCTCCCAGGCCTTTTCTCATCTGGACAATGGCCTCGAGGCTGAACCTTTCCTTCCAGGCTGAGGATAGGTCGCCTGGCTCGGCACTGGGGTTGCGGGAGGTCCTAGAAGCTTAGGTGGGGCAGGTAGGACAGGCCCCAACCCCACCAGCTGTGTCAAGGGAGGAGGAGCTGACCTGTGAACCCGAGGCAGCTGCCAAGCCTTGGGGCCTGGCTGTCCCCCTCCACCCACGCCAGGCCAGCCGTGTTCAGCCCTTCCCCGGATTTGGGGCTGGATCCAGAAGAGGGGCCAGGAGTGAGTGGGGAGGTTAGAGGAGGGAGGATGAGGACAGTAAAGCCCCTAAGTGCCTACAGCGGGGCAGGCGCTGTTCAAAGCCCTTTCCTGGTTTCAGCTGACTTAGTGCTGTCAGTAGCTCTACAAGGGAGCCAACAATATTACCCATCCCAAATGAGGAAGCTGAGACCATCAGCCAAAGACTGTTAGTTGTTGGCAGAGCTGCTAGACTGAGGAGGATGAGTGGCCACTGGCCACGCCACACCCAGCACAAGCAGCAGGGACAGCTCAGAGGTCTGGGTTCTGGTCCCTGCCCTGCCTCACAAAGGAAGTTTTAAGAAGTTGCTGGCTGGGTGCCATGGCTCACGCCTGTAGTCCTAGCACTTTGGGAGGCCTTGGAGGGAGGATCACTTGACCCCAGGAGTTTGAGACCTGACTGGGCAGTAGAGTGAGATCTCATCTCTACGAAAAAATAAATGAATAAATATTTTTTTAATTAGCTGGGCATGGTGGCCCAGCTGTAATTCCAGCTACTCAGGAGGCTGAGGCAGGAGGATGGCTTGAGCCCAGGAGGTTGAGGCTGCTGTGAGCTGTGATCGTGCCACTGCACTCCAGCCTGGGCAATAAAGCAAGACCATCCCCCCAAAAAAAGAAAAAAAGGCCGGGAGCAGTGGCTCACACCTGTAATCCCAGCGCTTTGGGAGGCTGAGGTGGGCAGATCACTTGAGGTCAGGAGTTCAGGAAAAACCCGGTCTCTACTAAAAATACAAAAAATAGCCGGGCATGGAGGTGCCTGTAGTCCCAGCTACTTAGGAGGCTGAGGCAGGAGAATGACTTGAACCTGGGATGTTCAACCTGGGAGCTTGCAGTGAGCCGAGATCATTTGCACTCCAGCCTGGGCAACAATCGTGAGAAACTCTGTCTGGAAAAAAAACAAAAACAAACAAACAACAACAAAAGAGTTGATTCATGTTCCCACTTTACCATTTGGAAGCTATGTGACCTGGAACAAGTTACCTCAAATTCTCTGTGCCTCAGTTTCCTCATCAGTAAAAATAGTGATAATATTAGTATTTACCTCAAAGGGTTGTTGTGGAAATTAAATGTGTCAGGGTCATGTGAACCAGAGCCACTCCATCTTGAATAGGAGGTGGGTAAAATGAGGCTGAGATCTACTGGGCTGCGTTCCCAGATGGTTAAGGCATTCTAAGTCACAGGATGAGCTAGGAGGAGGTCGGCACAAAATACAGTTCACAAAGACATTGCTGATAAAACAGATTGCAGTGTAAAGAAGCCGGCCAAAACCCACCAAAACCAAAATGGCCATGAGAATGACTTCTGGTCATCCTCACTGCTACACTCCCATTAGCACCATGACAGTTTACAAATGCCATGACAACGTCAGGAAGTTACTCTATATGGTCTAAAAAGGGGAGGTATGAATAATCCACGTTTAGCATATCATCAGGAAATGACCATAAAAATAGGCAACTTGGCAGGGCACGGTGGCTCACGCCTATAATCCCAGCACTTTGGGAAGCCGAGGAAGGTGCATCACCTGAGGTCAGGAGTTTGAGACCAGCCTGACCAACATGGAGGAACCCATCTCTACTAAAAATACAAAATCAGCTGGGCATGGTGGCACATGCCTGTAATCCCAGCTACTCGGGAGGCTGAGGCAGGAAAATTGCTTGAACCTGGCAGGCAGAGGTTTCAGTGAGCTGAGAGTGCACCATTGCACTCCAGCCTAGGCAACAAGAGTGAAACTCCATCTCAAAAAAAAAAAGAAAAGAAAAGAAAAAGGACAACTCTGCCTATGGAGTAGCTTTTTTTTTTTTTTTTTTTGAGACGGAGTCTGGCTCTGTCGCCCGGGCTGGATGGAGTGCAGTGGCCGGATCTCAGCTCACTGCAAGCTCCGCCTCCCGGATTTACGCCTTTCTCCTGCCTCAGCCTCCCAAGTAGCTGGGACTACAGGCGCCCGCCACCTCGCCCGGCTAGTTTTTTGTATTTTTTAGTAGAGACGGGGTTTCGCCGTGTTAGCCAGCATGGTCTCGATCTCCTGACCTCGTGATCCGCCCGTCTCGGCCTCCCAAAGTGCTGGGATTACAGGCTTGAGCCACCGCGCCCGGCCTTTTTTTTTTTTTGAAATGGAGTCTTGCCGTGTTACCCAGACTGGAGTACAGTAGCACGATCTTGGCTCACTGCAACCTCTGCCTCCCAGGTTCAAGCGATTCTCCTGCTTCAGCCTCCCAAGTAACTGGGACTACAGGTGTGCGCCACCACACTCAGCTAATTTTTGTATTTTTAGTAGAAACCAGGTTTCACTATGTTGACCAGGCTGGTCTTGAACTCCTGACCTCAGATGATCTGCCTGCCTTGGTCTCCCAAAATGCTGGGAATATAGGCATAAGCCATTGCGCCCAATCCCCAGTCTCCATTTTTCTTTTTCTTTCTTTTTTTTTTAATTTTTTTGAGATGGAGAGATGGAGTCTCACTCGGTCGCCCAGGCTGGAGAGCAGTGGCACGATCTTGGCTCACTGCAACCTTCGCCTCCCAGGTTCAAGCAATTCTCCTGCCTCAGCCTCCCAAATAGCTGGGACTATAGGTATGTGCCACCATGCCTAGCTAATTTTTTGTATTTTTAGTAGAGAGGGGTTTTCACCGTGTTAACCAGGAGGGTCTCGATCTCCTGACCTTGTGATCTGCCCACCTCGGCCTCCCAAAGTGCTGGGATTACCGGTGTGAGCCACTGCACCCGGCCAGCAGTCTCCATTTTTCAATGGGACTTGGTTATTAGGCAGTAAGCAGCCATGCCTTTCCCAACCCCTATCTCACAGTTTTTTGGGGAGTGGGGCAACAGAACTGAGTCGAGACCACAGCTACCCATAGCTCACCGTCCTATGATGGGGGATGCACTGGGGCTGTGGGAGCCCAGAAGAGGCATCTGGACCAGGGTCAATGTCCTGCTGGGAGAGGACAGTGCACATGGGCTGTAATGGGTAAGAAGTGTATCTAGTGGAAGGAGCCAGGGGATAGGCAGGGAAAAGTCTCACGGCAACAGGGATTCGCAAAGTGTCAGTACTCCCACCCCACAACACACACACACACGTTAATTCAGATTCTAGGTCCTCCAAATGTGAATGACAGGGGAGTGGGGCCCCAGAATCTGGATTTTAAACCAGCCCCTTTCCCAAATGACCCTGAGGCCTAGCTTGGCCCCATCTGATCAGGTTAAGAGGGGTCAAATGGTATACAGATACAAATGGGTAAACTGAGGCCTGGGCATGTAGGCCCAGCCGACCCACACTGTCAGGCAGGGTTCAGAAATGGCACTGGAGAGGGCACCATCTCCCAGGCGGGGAGGGTCTGGGACACTAATGACTGTTTGTCTGTCCCTTCCCCCGCAAGTCAGGGCAGCCGAGGCCTGTGATTACCACAGCAGCCCCGCGGGCAGAGACTGGCACAGGCGGCCATGCCAAGTCAGCTCATTGCTAGAAGAAGAAACTGAGGGTCAGGGGAGCCCAGACAAACAACTGAACACA